ATATACGCGATTTAAATCCGGAAAAATAGTTTCATTTCCTAAATATGATTTTATTTAAATAAAGCTTTTTATACCCTAAAACCGCTGTATAAATAGTCGCGCATATGGCACTTAGTTGTGAACTAAGAGCGCCTGACGTCATTTGTAGGTAAACGAACTGGACAATATACATTTGCTACTTGCAAGACTTTTTATGATTTATTATACGATTACTCATTAATATAAGGGAAAAATTGCTTCGTACGTCATCGTTCAGAACAACACACTTGCTCTTTAAAAAATATGACGCCTGGCTATCATCAGAGATAGCAAAGATATCTTAAGGAAAGAACCGACACACTTACAAGACTTACCTATACCTTTACAAATCGATAGCTTTCCAGAACAATGACCTATCTCAAAAGCATATATTTCATCAGGAAGATGGTTTAAAAAACCTAAGATGTTTGAAGATTTATTAAGAGAAAGAAGATTGCTTACAATATGATTGAATGAAAAACCTAAGATCTCGATTCATTACATCTTTTATTTACGAGTTCGCATATAACAGCTGCACCGTTTGCAAGAAAAGCGTTTATTTATATTTTTTATAAACGAGTTCATATTTATTTAATTTATTTACATGTATTTCCATAACATAATTGATCTATAAATGCTCGTAGCTTACACTTCTATGCAGTGAAGTTCTCAAATTGTTACTTTGAGGTTCTGGTACATTCAGTTCTTTCCAGTCGATCTGTAAATGAAATAAAATCAGAAATGAAAATCTGTAGCGCACTCAATGTTATTGTATGTATATTTAGAATTTAGAACTCCTACATACACTTTTTATTGATAAATATATATGTTCCAGGTAAATTCAGTTACTGACTCTGATTACGGTTCATTATCTCACAAAACAAAAAGGAAAAGAGCTGTGTTTTAGCAACCAATTTTAGTTATTTTGACTAAGCGGCATGACGATGTTAAACGATTCGCTCCGTTTTAAATAACGGGCCTCAATCAAAGTAAGGCTTGAAAGAAACGAACTACCCGCATTCGACATAAATATATGCACAGTGATAATAAAAATTCGTTTATTTATTGGATACGTTACCCATATTTCACTGTCGGGCACGCGCGACATGAAATCCAATAAGGCGTTGTTTAACTGCCTCTCGGGATTCAAATATTTCCGAGAATACTTATAAGTACCTGTATGAAAAATACATAAGCATAACACATGAAGCACAGTAGTTCAAATTGTTTGAAAAAATCTACTTTAGAATGTTGGTTCTTTTAATTGTTTCAGAGGAAGATCAAAAATCAAAAACAAAACATCTATAAATCATAGAAATTGCACTCGAAACTGTCACAATGGTCATCACTACTATTCAAAATTATGAAAACTTCGCATAGTGATAAAAAAATGCTTTCTTGTAACGCCTTTATATTCTGCGTAATACAAAGAAATTAATAAATTTTATTTCAAAGCCTTCAATTAAGTTATTAGGTCAATAACTGCTGCTTCTACTTCGAAGTTATAACTGTATTAGACCAATGAAATAAGTTATTTAGGTCTAGTTACTTTGTTTCTGTAAAAGACATTGAAATCAAACTATTTTTCCGGTTTTAAATCGCGTATATTTGTTTTTTCGAACAAACCAACGTTTCGGGCCCTTTACAGGTCCCATGGTCACGGTTGACTGAGGTGGTACATTCATCAACAAGTTTTGTCTAATATTAATGAAAACCACCCTATTATTTTGTTAATAATTAAATAGCTTATTTTTACTTTTACTAAGAAACACTCCAATTTACGCTACATTATGTTTTACAAATTATTTTAATTTAACAATATGAATGTTTATTAAGTTAAATTTATTATTAATTAATAATGGAAATTAGAATAAATTAAACATATTAATTAGTACTGCAGTCTTATGCCTGTTTGGGATTTTTCATCAGAGGAAATACTGGATCCCAAACTGGTTGGAGAAACCATCTTCCCTGTTGAATTAGGATGTTTTTTTTAATTTCCTGGGGTAATAACGGACTTCTTTTACAAGGATTTGGGGTTTGTCAAACTTCATTGAATGTGACTGCACACTTGCTTATGCGACGGTGTTTGATATCAGCTATATGTTCTTTGACACGGATACAAAATACTTCGCTCCATTTGTCCAATATAAGAAAGAACGCACTCACAATCAAGATTGTTTGAAAAACCAATATACGCAATTTAAATACGAAAAATTGTTTTATTTCCTATGTGCAACAAACGCGAAAACCTAAGAACTCGAGATATTGAAATCCATAAATTGTAAAACAGTAAACGTCTGATTGAAATTTAACGCATGCAAATTACAATTGATTAAACAGTACTACTTATTCGTAAGGCAGATTCCGATGAGAAGATGAGTAAGAATCTCTAGGGGATGCTCTTTGTAAATTTCGCACCCCTCATGGAAGAATGGCATAATGGCATCGAGTTACGTCAAAGTCAAAGTCAAAGTCAAAAAGTCAAAGATTAGGTTATTCCATAGGTAAAATAAATTTACACTTGAAAACGTCACATTTAAGCTACTGCTCGTTCACTACGCTGACCTCCCTGAGAAGAACGAGTTTATTCATATCTCAAACATGTTTATTGCTCCATTAGATACAAAAAAATATCGTCCAAACCCCCTCCAATTCTTGTAATTCTATAGACAAATATTGTAGATAGAGTTACAAGAATTTGAAAAAGTTTGAAAAATGTATACCTACTATACCATACGTGTTCTATTTAGTTCAGTTCATATAAAAAAATAATTGGTATATGTAAAGTACCTATTGAATACAGCAGTTTTCTTATAAAATTTCGATTTCGATTTATGTAAGTTCGTGTTTTTTTCAATCGTGAAAATTTTTAAGAATCGTGTTTTCACACCGTATAGTAATCAATATATATCCTCAATTTTACTGCATATATTTTTCCAAAGTGGTTGATTCAACACTTTCGCTGTTGTGCGGAATCAACCAGAGCTATTTAATATTGTATAGACTCTTAATGATATTAAAATATTCAAACTATTGCTTTTCGAAATAGTATGGTTATTGATGAATGGTTATTTTTTGACGACGTAACAATGCCATTACAGATTTATCAAAATGTACAAACATTAATGTGTCAAGTGATTGATAATATTATTTCTATTGATCACGAAACGCCCAGTGTACATTATAATAAAATAAATAAATAAATAAATAAAATAAATAACGCACACACCCAACATAGCCCCGCACTAGGGAAACCCTGTGTCGCGGGTGCCATGGACACACACATAGACAACCACAAATTACACCCGAACTCACGAGAGAAATAAATGTAAGCCAAACAAACATTTCTCCCGGCCCGGGAATCGAACCTGGGACCTCTGCGTGGCAGTCCGGCATGGTAACCGTTCGAGTGGTTGGTGGGTGTTAAAGAGGCTATCCCTCCAAGCACGCACGCAAATAAGATTGCTTACCTAGAACCATCATAAGATAATTAACAGGTACGAAATACAGAAGCATTGAACACAATAACAAAAGGGTCATCATCAAGTAGCTCATAAACGGCACTTTGAATGTCATGAGGCTGAAACAAAGTTTTCCGAAATTGAAAAAAAAAATAAAACAACATGCCTCCCAGCTTTTAAAACAAATGCAATCAAAAGAAAGAGATCGTCTAACGTAGAGCTGCCAATTTACCAAGCAGTAATGTAGGCATTATTGCGATTCGGTTTTGAGGGTAAGGGTACTGATGAAATTACAGGCACATGGGACTTGTCAACTCATGTCTCAGGGTGACGGGCGCAATGGCAGTGCCTTAGATTGATTTGTGAGAAAGCTCTAAGTGCCACTGCAACTGTTATGGATAGGCGTGTCGCTTACCACCAGGCGTATGACTTGTTTATCCCGTCACTTGGTATTATTAAAAAATCTACACTGGAAATGAATAGCATGTACGTACAACATAAAGTATTTCGCTAATTTTAATATAAATCTAGATGATAAACGTTAATTTTAAAAATAAATCATTCAAAATTAATTTTGTAAATGATACAAACTATACTATACGGAGAGTCTAAATTTTTCAAATAAATATTTTATGTCTGACTAAAGTCGCATAGCGCCGATACATACGTTGCATAGTCTTCGCTATTATCTAGCAATACCAACTTATCATAATTAATATAGGTTGTAATGAACCAATAATAATAATAAAAGTATGCCAGACAACCAAACCAATTACCTACCGAGTTCGAGATAGGTTTGATAGATAGATAATATTATTATGCAGTCAGTGACAAAAGAATACGTGACATGTGACATATCCATAACACAAAAATATTTCAATTCTCGACTCGCCCGTCCTCCTTAATCCTGACTATTTCCACCGAAGATGGGATAGAAAAGAATAAAAATATTGTCATACAAATTTCTATCAAGCACCTTAAGGGAGCTGGTGAATTTGCACATGGGACATGGGACTTGTCAACAGCCACTTATCAACTCACGTCTTATGGTGACAGGCGCAGTGGCATTGTCACTCGGATCTTTACGATTTAAAGCTATGAGTGGCACTGCAACTGCTGTGCACAGGCGTGTCAATTAACAGCAGGCGCAGTTGTCCGTCTCGTCACTAGGTATCATAAAAGAAAAAAGATTCTAGTTTGGATGTACTGAGCAGTGCCAGTTAATTCCATTGCTCTTAAATTACAAGGAATTACCTAGTTTGAGACCAGGTAGACGTGGTCGTTTGGGAAATTACAATTAAACTAAAGTTATAAAACTACAACGAGCGCTTTGCACTTTTCTATATACCTACAATTTCGGAAAAAAACTTGTTTTTTTAACAGTAGATCTAATAAATGCCATATTGGAAGGTCACTCAGAAAGACCTTATGAAGGGTTACGATCTACGGTGACTCGCGTGGAAGTCCTTGAATCGACTTTGCACTCATGTAGGTCGCTGCAGAGACAAGATGTGTAAATAGGTATTCAGGGATGCTAGTCTACTCCAATGTGACTGAGATGCTCCAACACAGTCCACGCAGCACTTGCTGCACAAGGGGCACAAGCCCCTTATGCCCTAATACCTGTATGAGGGAAGATTTCTACGCGGCCATGGATAACGCGGTCACAGTGGCAACATACTATTCAATAAGAGAAGCATGGACACGATAAGTAGAAGAAGGGAGTTTGTCGAGCTGTGGAGGTTCAATTAGCTATCTAAGCCAGGAGATTAAATTACAAGGTACTCCTAATTAAACTGATAGATACTTACTTGTAAATTCTTTCTACCATGGAACATATATAATCGACACCATCTGTGACAATGAGGGTCGTTTCCGGAAGATTGCTTATTTTATTTGTGATAGTTTGCTTAACCTGTAAACAAAGAATCAGAATGAGTTCACAGGTTATCGCGATTGTTGCCCTTTTGAATTAAAAGTTTTTTCGGACATTAATCGCATGTATTTGTTTTTTAAAATGAACTATTAAACCATAAGTATTTCTTCTGATGAAAAAATCCCAAGCAGACAAAGACTACATATTACAACTCATGAATATGTTTTATTTTTATTACTAATTTCCCTTTAATTATGTAAAATTTATATTGTTAAAATAAAATATTTTGTAAATCGTATATAAATTGGAATGTTCTTTGGTAAAATTAGAAATGAGGTATTTAAATTATTAATTTTTATAATTATATTTCAAAACAGAGGGACATTAATATTAGACATAACTGGCTGATACCATGAAAGTCAGCCGTGACCATGAGACTTGTAAAAAGAATACTAAAATTTACTTTAATGTACACTCTTTGATTGGTAATTAAAATTCATAAAAATGATATTTTACTCTGTTATCTTCTTACATCTTTTTACCTTTGCATTAGGGTCAGATTCATCTATGATGTGATCGTATCCTCGCCTAAATGTTCGTACCTCTGAAATAAGTAAAAATACAATATAAAAAAACACTGATTTTTTTCAGTTTTCAATTTCTGAACCTCGAACGACTAGAACCTCTAAAGAAATAGAAAATTTTACAAACGACAAATGGAGAATCATATTAAGCAAAGGGGGAAATTAATTATCAAAACCCGGTCTAATCAGAGATATAAAATTACAATTGCTACATGCAATTCTTCTTTTTACAATTCTTCTTTTTGTAACATCATGACATTCTGCTTTCGTTTTATTCATCGTCAGTTTTCTGTACCTAATTTCGGTGGCAATTTTGATTATGTATGTATTCGTGCATATTATTAAATAATATTTCGGGTTACTACAATCGAATATTAAATAATGGTTCATGATAATATTCTAGAATATTTAAAAAATACAAATTGCCACCGATATCAGGTAGAGGAAACCTACTTGAAACGACCCCTTTACATCACAGTACATTCAATAAATAGACTCTGCGGTTGAAGTAAAGCTGCAATAGTCAAGGCTCATTTTCATTAGCTTACACGTCGTTGTAAGATAGTAAAAACCGTTATTATTCTAAGGTAAAAACCACATTTTCGTGAAAAAAGAACGATTTTCAGTTCCATATAACAGCGGCAGAATCTATCGTAAATACATTGCATATTCATCTTAATAATAGTGGCTCTATTTAAAATAAAGATCCATGGTAAGTATACGACAGTAAAAAACTCACGTTGTTTTTCTTTATTTGCCCAAAAGTAGAGGAAAGGCGCTAATAAAAGAAGTGGAGCTAGCCATGCCTTAAAATTGTACCAAAATAATAGCCAACCAATAAGTACCAGGGTCGATAGCTCTTTGTTTTCCCATTCTAGAAATTGTCTGAAAATGGACAAGAGTATCTAAATAAGTACTTCAATGTTTACAGGTTGCAAAGAGCTCCAGTGTTATAAGTGACAGCACCAATATCTCCGAACTCCATAGAACTAATCCAGTCTAAATTTCTATCTTCTGTAAATGGTTAGGCACTTAGTTTTATATTTAGCATAATCCTTTAGAGGTTTTAATTTTTCTAGGAATAGATTGCAGAAAGACCTCCGCGCCCTGCACCCAGTGAACTAGGAGGAGATCGCACAAGACAGTGCGCGCTCTTATCGGAGGCCAAGGCAAAAACTTAAGTTTATTTTTACTAAATATATTATAAAAAGTTAACACAAAAGTTGTTTTTTTTATTTAAGATATGGTCCTGGGAGGTTGTTAGTCTTTTACAAGTAACAAATGTATAGACAGGCACTATTTGCTATCAGCGAATGCCCCTTTAGCTAAAGGGGAAAATATACAAGACCGTGATTAGACCTGTCGTACTGTATAGATCAGAATGTTGGGCGATAAAAAGGGAGGATGAACGAGCTGTGCATGCAGCGGAAATGTGAATGTTGAGATGGATGTGTGGAGTGGCGAGAGAAAATAAAATAACTACATCAGAGGAAGTTTGAAAGTGGCGCCAGAGACGGAAAAGATGAGGAGTAATAGGTTAGGTATGGACTGGACATGTCATGTGGAGGGAAGAATGTCATGTGACGAGAAGAGTGTTAGGTATGAACGTAGAGAGATATAAGGGGAATGGAAGGCCAAAGAAAAGATAGATGGATTGTGTGAAAGATGACATGGATAAGAAAGATGTGAGTATGGAAATTGCGGCCGATAGGGGAGAATGGAAGAAAAATACATGTTGTGAAGAGAAGAGACACATGTTACGAAAATGTTGAACAAAATAAACTAATATACGCATTTTTGTTTTGCTTTAGAAATTTGAACTCACTTGATACCTTCATTAATTTCCACGAGCAAGAGCATGGTGTCCTTTACATGAACTATATTATTGTAAAGTAGAGTCAAATCGAACTTTGGTTGAGGCTTTATGTACCTCGTCTGTTTCGGCTCAAACACTTTTAATGATGCTTTTACCTGCAAAACCTTCTTTTATAAATTCGTATTTATGAATGTGAGATTTCTAATTCAATTTATGATCCATATTCCTCCCCTTAAAAGAGTCCCGTACCCAAAAGCGACAGTGGTTTATAAAATACAGTACATCTGTTTTGAAATGCTCCCTATGCTACCCTATCATTGGGTAGTTTCAACATATCAAAGAGGAAAGTAAGCAAGTGAAAGTAAAGTACTCAAGAAACAGACGGCTAATCTCTGTTTACCGTTCAAAATATTTTGAGAAAGGTAGAAAGAAAGGTAGGTACTTAGGGCAAATTAGACGCTTATAGAAGCGCTCAGTGGCGCCACTATGACTCTGCAATCACGCCACTACTAATTTTCATACAATATTTAGAAGCGCAGCTGCAGCGCCACAGTCGCCCCACACTCGCGCCACAGTCGGCACACGCTCGCGCCAAAGTCGCCCTACGCCCGCACCACAGTCGCCCCACACTCGTGCCTTTTTTGCAGACTAGATATTATATGAAAATTTGTCGTGGAGCGACTGCCTCGCCACTAAAAGCGTCTAACTTGATAGAGCCCTAAATACCTACCTTTTTATTTACTTTCGCGTAGATTTTATTTTAAAAATATTTTAATCGGTAAATAGAGATTAGTTGTCCATTTGAAAATATCAAAGTCGCAAAAGTAAATTATTTCGGCGTAATTAGACAAGTGGCTCTGACACTGCGACTTACATGGCAATGGCGCAGCAGACGAACAAGGTTGGAAAAGGGTCAGAGACAGTTGCTGTTGGTCCGTAGTGCCCCTCTCCTACCAATGATCAAGCGCAGACTTCTCATAATTACACTAAGATAACCCTTACGATTTTATAGGCAGGCTAGGGAAGCACACCCATCGCTGAACGCCTATCTATCCAGAAAACTCCATGCTCTAGCTGCCGCATTAAGAATGTCATAATGATGATGTGCCAGAATGCCTGAATGAATAATGTGCCAGACAATCACACCAATTACCTGGTCTCAAACTAGAAAATTCGTAACACTATGAGTACCAGAGCAAAGGGATTAACTCTGGGTCACTTCCCAGAACACCCAATGCATAACCTATTTAGAAAAGTCAATTTCCCAAATTGGTCCTACCGGGGATCAAACTCCGCATCCAGCGCCCACAATGTAAGTCGTTGGGCTATCGAGGTTGTCATAATGAACACGGACAATCATCCAAGTTCGAGTATGGCCTACTTCAGGGCGAAATACCTCAGAGTCATGATCGATCCTCAGTCTTCGGCTAACCCAGAAAAGCCGATATTCCTGATGAAGCTCTAATCGTACAAGGGGAACCTACACCCACACACGTAAAGTAGGCGCTACGACAGCGCGTTGCGTTTCCTTATATACTAATTAAAACAAATCTCTAAAAAGTTAGCACAGTGTCATCCATTATCTACAAAAACAAAGTTGTTTATTTTGATATCTCTACACCAATTAAGGACACAAAGTAACAAAGTAACTTCAAACTAAAGATATCTGTTCCACTTTGTCGTCACACAAGATCAAAATTAGATCAGTAAACCTATTCTATTATCTATATACAATGTACCACTTCCTACACACGGGACTCTTCAAGATTTGGGTATTATTTTACTCTTTGCATTAATATTAATATGTATATAGAATAGAAAGCATATATTTCAACACCACAACACAAAAAATCATAAACAACAAACATGCCATAAATGTTGAACTTGTGTGTGTGCGGCTGTAGTTTAAGCAAAACGATCTCCTTTACCTAAAGATACAGATTATAATAGGCTGTGATGCGAAAATGATATGCAATACATTGCAAATGAAACTATTTTTTCCGGATCTCAATCGAGTATATTTTACTCAGTTAGCCGTGACCACGGGAGCTAGCGAGCTGTAAAGAGCCAGAAACGCTGGTTTGTTTGAAAAACAAATGTATATGAGATATAAATCCGGAAAAATTAATTTGCTTGCTAGCAATCAAATTTAAAGAACTAAAAACCTAAGAACTTGACAAAATAAATTAAGTTAAAAACGTATTTATTTTTTATTTTTTAGCATTCCATTATTTATTTGCGAATAGCGATCTTAGGATATTGCGATAGTATTAGTTCTTTTTAAATATGACCAGTTGTATTATAAAATCAACGGCAATTTATACATTCCGCCATTTTTCTAAGCTATTTCTTAATGGCACACCGTAACTGTCTAATGTTAACTCGATGTGTAAAATTATTAGTTCTTAATACACAAGCGATTTAATGACTATTATAAATTATTACTTACCGGGTTATAAAACAAAGACATTTCTATTAAGATTCTAGGGCAATTTCCTTTAGCGTTCTCTCGGCAACTCTTGTTCTTCAACGCGTACCATCGAGGTTGTCCATTAACAATTCGTAGTAAGGGTATTAACACCTTTCCCAGGTATTTTGGCGTTGAATTGTCGCCTACTATTATATCTAGTGTGCCCGTGACGTCATATACATTGCTGTTAGATTAAAAAACATTGTATAAGTAGTAACTGTGTATTTTAGATTAGTTTCTTGTCACAAAAATGATAACAAAGATATTTACGCTGTATAAATATTTTTTTATAATCTATTTTTAAGAGTGGTTGCACACGACGACTTTTAGCAGCGATGAATACACGCGTCTGTGAAACGCGCGACTGCGTCGCTACACTTACGATTTATAGGCGATTGCATCGATGCAAACGCGTGACTGCATGAATACAAACGCGCCATTGCATCAAAGCAATCGCTTCTAAATCACAAGCGTAGCGATGCAATCGCGTGTTTGTATCGATGCAGCCGCGCGTTTGCATCGCTGCTTAAGTCGCACGTGTGTGTAAAGATCATCGAGTATTTAACCAGAAATAGAGACGAAATAAGGGTCATCCATCCCTGGCAAACTATACTCTATCACTTTTAAATATCAACTCTCGTGTGTACTGGAATCACAAATTAAAAAGCTGAAATAGTACAGCGCCAACAACTGACCGTGTGTACGCCTCCGTATATTCCAAAAAGATTTTGTATTTATTGTAATAAACGTAACATCTCTAACTAGGGGGCTGTTCCATTAGGTGGCGCGTGAGAAACAGCAAAACGTCTAATTACAAAACAAACTGAATCTCATTTTATCGGTAATTAAATGATATGTATTTTTGGATTATCGTCCATTATAGCAAAGCTCAAGTTAAACTGGTCGATTTTAAGTGAAACAGTTGACGACACCCGTCAATTGTTTCGAATTCGGGCTGGCCAATCAGAGCGCAGTTGTCACCGTAGTGATTCGGCGGAATAGTTTTCAAGCAAATTAATGACATTTCGTCTCTATTTCTAGTTATATACTTGATGGTAAAGGTAGACGATTAGCTACTGCATCGCGTTTGCATTGCTGCTAACAGTCGCCGTGTGTAACAGCTCTAAGGGGCCTAACACATTCGGGCGTTTATGTCGGCCTTGTGTATGTTACCGGAAATATATGAAATCTAGGAATTGTATACAAATCCTAGGAAATATATACAATTCCGAAGCTATCTAGAAATGTATAAAATATTGTTTCAAAAACTATTTGTTACATAAATGTCCTAGAAAATGTGTACAATTCCTAGGAATTGTATACATATAATTCCAATATCGTATTAGGAAATGTATAAAAATAATGCTTTCTGTAATAAAACACGTTGTTAAAATGAGAATAATATTTTTTATTAAAGCACTCATTGCCCAGAGGGTCTTCCGCGTTTGTATAAAAAAACCTAACTTAACCTAAATAATCCGATTCGTTTCTGCCCAGAGGGACATCCGCGTTTGTATAAAAAAACCTAACTTAACCTAAATAATCCGATTCGTTTCTGCCAAGAGGGACTTCCGCGTTTGTATAAAAAAACCTAACTTAACCTAAATAATCCGATTCGTTTCTGCCAAGAGGGACTTCCGCGTTTGTATAAAAAAAAACCTAACTTAACCTAAATAGTCCAATTCGTTTCTGCCCAGAGGGACTTCCGCGTTTGTATAAAAAAACCTAACTTAACCTAAATAACTAAATAACTCGGTAACGCGTCCGTAGCGGTGCATGGGTCAATGCAATTATCTCTGATAATTGGTTAATTATTATTATAAAATGGGGGATCAAACCGACCGTGTGATGCCCACTTAACTTAACATTTTTATACTTAGTTATTGTATATACGTGGAGGAAAAAGTAGAATTAGGTGTGCGTAGTTAGAGATAAAAGTTAAAATAAAAGTTTTCAAATCACAAAAGTAAATTTACTGCTGATTTCCTAGTGACATCATTTTATCGCTAACTGCTACATCACAACAATCATTTTTCAATTTCATTATCTTTGTGCGGAAAATAATTTTGAACTAAATTATGTATGAAACGTTCATACGCATATTATATCAAATTAATGTTATTACTAACTTATTGATTAGATAAAGAAAAAATCTTTCGTATCCGATTTCTAAACACTGTAGTGCGTAATGCCTTGTTTAATAATTAAGTAAACATATAATTGTTAGCGATAGAATTGGTGTCGACCATAGATATAGGTGTCGATAAGGAATCACGAGAAATATTTTGTTCGCAATAACAAAACTTTTATAACTAGTAGTATGCTGGTGGTCATAGATAATATATATTATCTCAAAGTAATATGAAAAAAATATATAGGTACTTCCTTTTTCCTTCTCTATAAAATACACTTTATAAAGCACCAATAAAATACTTGATTAAATGAGAATACTCACAAAACGTAGTCCTTATTCCAAACAGCATTTGCAGTTGCTTTAACACTGGGCGTCTTTACTCTTTCATTGTCTAGTTCCAGTATACAGTAGGCCTTGGGGTTTCCAGAAAACCCTTTTGCACCTATTACCTTTACGTGTAGCTGCCCTACTATGTTCCAATCTGAGCGTAAGTTTAAAAGTTTCTGAAATAGACTCGAATATGAGTACTTTTTAAGTTAGTGAATTGTTGAAGTTGAACTTAAATAATGAGCAATTGTTAATAGAAAAATATACAGAAAGAACAGGTAAAGAAACTGTACACCCAATGTGTACGGAAAGCAAAATAAATAATATTAAAGGAGTCAAGAAGAAAGTGGAACTAGAAGGATGTACCTAGTGATCTATATAAGATCATTGGATTTAATACATTATTTTTTACATATAAATAAATAGTTAATGTCAACTTATGTTATAAGCTTTGCTCGTTAATAAAAACCTTACAACAAATGAAAATAACTTGAGACAATTTAAATACGCCGTTGTATAGTTTGACATTTGACTAAAGTAAACATCTTATTAATTAATACTAATACCTAATGTTAGTAATAAAACAATGTGGATTAAAAAAAGATTAAAGATACGTATATTGCTTATTTTTTAGGCGACATCGCCAGATAGAAGCGTTGCTATCATATTGTATTTATATTTAATGAAGTCCATCTGTCGATTATACCCGTCACTACTGATATGGACGTCTCGAAGTTATGTCCCAACTATTTAAATTGATTTATAAAACAACAAAGAGAAACTTGCGCAACACGTCGGCAACGGATTATGTTACTGCATACTACAAGCAATGTCAATGTAAAACAAACCAGTGCATCAAAATGTTCAAGATATGCATGGCAAAAAGTTCGAAGTTATAGTATTCATGAACTATAACAACATTGGTGCTCATTGAAAACAAAACCGTCATTTAACGAAATTCTCGCTTTTTCAAATTTAAACGTACTGAAACTTTAATGACCATTTTGCAAAAGTTGACACTTTACTGTTTACTTTCACAAGGAGCTCTACTGTTACTAAATACTCTTAAGGGTTGTTCTTTTTATATAAACATTTTGTACTAAACTTGTGTAAAACTTTTTCATATTTTTAAATTCCAATATTTATTCAAAATCGAACCAACCTACAAGAGTTTTAAATAAAACTTTACATTAAAAATGGACATGGAATTGGATTTAAATCTTAAGAGCCAAGCTTGACGTGCTCTTGACTGTACAATGCGGTCACAAGAAAAGTGTGCCGTAAAATAAATATTTTATTTTTTATTTTACTTTATCCTGTATATTGTATTGATTATCGCTAACCGCACGTTAAGTGTTGGCTATAACAAATCGCACACCTCCACTCGCGGTCAAAAAAACCTAAAATATTTAATAAGAAATAAAAATAAATAAATAATTAAAAAAAGAATTTAGTATTAGGGGAGCGTCGGGGAATGGGAGCCTACTAAGGAAAATTGATAATAAAAGTCATAATTATGCAATTTAAATTTTTATTACTTACAAACTTCACATATCTGGGTACTAGATAATCACAGATAAAATATGAAACTAAAATATAATATTTGGTTAAAAAGAAAAACTGAAATGTCATTCGCTCTCGTGAAATGGGACCCGGTAAGAATCCCGTATGTCAAATAGGTCCCGTTATATATAATCAGTTTGAGTAATAAAATATATAAGTTAAAAAGTAATGAAAATAAACAAGGAAATGTTAAAGGATTATCCAATGAATGTTGCAATGGGATAAGAAGAGCCAAATAGCTCTCACTACCCGCGTAATATCACGTTGAAAAAGGAATAAATCAGTAAAAACATTTCTATTTTTATTGTGGTTTCAAGCATAACTTCTAAAATTTGATAGATATGATGACATAGCTAGTGTAAATACAACGTAGTATCTATGCATTTTAATGCTTACCTGGAATGATGAAATTTGGCAAATTTTATAAGCGCGGAGCGAAAAACACACAACCATCTCATACGACTAAACACGGGGTTCTATGTGGGCGCCCACGGGAGTCGAACCTTGTCGAACGATAACGACGACATAGGAGTGCCGTTTACACGAATATGAGCACTGGGAAAGTCCAGTTTAACATCGCTCTCATAGGGCTCCCAGTACCCCACGTTCCCCTAAGTAGTATTTTCAGTAAACACTTCTCTCACACATACTGCCAACACTACCCATACTGTCAAAGATAAAATATAGGCCAATAGCATCGCGCTCTGATACCGTACGAACATGGAATTTCAACAAAAAAAAAATTTAAGGCTACTGTAGGGACTATCAACGTTGTAAATTTATATTAGAGGTACTTATATATAAAAATCATTTGATAAAACCGTGACTTACGAATCTCTCTTTCATGACTTCGAAGTTGGTCTCAAAGTTAGGTGTATGGGTGGAAATCGCCATATTTTGTTTGATAGTACACATAGTCACATTCAAGTGTATGGAACCAAAACCATCGTCCAGTTCTTTCCAAATTTCGTGTGATCGTTCTTTTTCCAAGTTCATTAGGTTTATTACACAACTATCATGAAATCAGAACAGATAAGTCAGTACAGAATACAATATATATCTAAATAGATAACAAGAATCTTGTTTCCAGTAACACTAATTCACTTTCATGCCCATGAAAAAGGCAAATCAAAGACTCTCATAAGATTCGCTCACTACGATAACAAATAAGATAACAGACTTTTTTATATTTATCAACATTAGAAAACAACATAAATGGTTTATTTATAAGTACGTAAATATACTTAAAATAAAATGTAAGTAATAATAATACATCAATTTTCTCGATAAATCTATTTCGCCACATGAAAACACATAAATGATTTATTTATTGCTACATAAATAAACTTCAAATAAAAGGTAATGTATGTAATAAAATATAAAATGTAATGTAATGTAATAAAATGTAATTATTATTATTTATTTTCACATATTATGTAATAAGAGACTGGTAGGTACCTAAACTAAGCATAAGCTTGTGTTATAGGTCTCTCACCACGGATAATAAAACTCTAACAATATTTTGGAGAAGTTAGTGTTAAAAATAAATAAAAATAAAATAAGGTAAATATAAAAAGTAAGCTAAGTATAAAAAATAAGGTAAGTATTAAAAAAATAAGGTAAGTGTAAAAATATAGTATGTTTAAAAGAATAAAATAAGTGTAAATAAATAAGGTAGGTAAATAATTATTTATTTACCTACCTTATTTTTTTACAGTAGGTAAATAAATAATAAGCTATTGTGAAACTCGATTGTATTTCTTTTTAAAAACTTAATTAAATTTATTCTTCAAAACAGTAATACTTTTCTAAATTAAAGCCACAAAGATTCAGTGATTGACCTATTTCTAGAATCGGGGCTTAATCGTGTAGAAAAACATATTTTATTTACCTTGACGTTTCGTACGCGTTGCAACGTCCATACCATAGTCTCTAAGGGATGGAAAGGGAAGGGAAGGTCAGTCCCTTCGAGACCATAGACGTTGTAACACGTCCGAAAAGTCGAGGTAAATGAAGTCCCGATTTTAAAAATAAATAAAGTGTGAAAACTGTGAAAGTTTAAATGAATCTATTTCCAGAATTTATATTAAAAAAATTACCTGCCCATGAAATTTTTATGTTTCCCCTTGTCCCAAAGAGAAATCCGTAGCAAATGGTCTGTGTGCAAATGTAGCTCGAATCTCTCTCGCCATTGCGGGCTTTTTGAATTTTTAACCGATTTCGATCCATGCGTTTCTGCACCTAACCTAAAACATTAAAAGGATTCTGTTGCCTACAATTCATTACATCGCTTATTGGAATGTTATAAGGGATACTATCATCTGCCTCCGTGGCCGAACGATTACTATGCTGGACTGCTACGCAGAGGTCTCGGGTTCGATTCCTCGGCCGGAAGAAATATGTGTATGCATACATTTATTTCCCTCGTGAGTTTGGGTGTAACTTGTGGTTGTCTATGTGTAAATCAAATAAATATACACAATAAACGACATATATCTACAATTAATTAAAAAGCAAGTTGTGAGTGCTGCAGCAAGCCAAACAGGCCATAGCTCAGTGCAGGTGTTACCCAAAAGCAACGCACTGATTTTCATCTATCGCCTAGTGGGTAACGCGAAGTGGTGTATCACAGCAAAAAGCAATGTGTAAGTAATGTGTAGGACGTGCAGTGAGTCTTATAGTTGTGTGTCAGTGTTAACGTGTCGATGGGAGCGTCTGTGGAAGCGTACAGGTGTGGCAAGCATGAAATTTCAAAAACCAACTAGAAAAAAAAGATATAACAAAGAAAACGGACAAAAAAATGGTTGGGGACCTCACACGTTTTCCGAGGGTTGTGAACCTTCTTCAACGTGCAGGTTTCATCACGATGTTTTCCTTCACGGAAAAGCTCATGATAAATTTCAAGTTAATGAATTAATATAATACTTATTATCCGCTCACGCGATACATGCAGCCGTAGACGCATACCACACCTAGAGGTGCCGGTGATGATTTTATACCGATTTATCGGATATCGAAGTTATAACATGTAAAAGAACTAATATTAATTGCTATTTCGGTAACTACTCTAGAAAACCATAAACTTTTTAATGCCTGGATCTGTCATTTAAAAAAATAAACAACTTCAAAAATACGTCACGACAATCGTGTGTGTTATTGTTTGGGCTGGTGATTTCGGTGTTTATTTATTGAAAACATACCGTAAGTAGCGTTTTTTAAGTTTACCCTTGAATATAAATGTTTATAAACTATACTTTAAGGAGTAAATTCATGGTAAACGTTAGAACCACTGAAACGGAATATTATCATATTTATCCAAGTACACCAAAAATTTCATTAGAGCTTTTTAAGTGCAGGATTTGCGATGTATTACTGCATTTTATTTGAGATGTTTTTGTTAGTAGTACGGAGGGTATTTATTTAGCAATGCAGAATAATAATTTTTATTTATAAAAACTTGTATTTAAACTGAATACTTTTCTAATTTGCGAAACCAAATAGCCGCCATTTTGCGGTAGGAGGAGCGCATCGCGTGAGCGGACCATTATTTCATGCTTATATTCACCATGGCTGGGCAACCACATCCCATTGATGACCAGCCTGTATCATGGAGTCCTAGATGTAATATGATTTAAATTAAAAAACTGTAATTTTGTTTGAAAGAACAGTTGCTCTTTGTTACATAATTACATCCAACAATAGTTATTATGTAGGTATATAATAAACTTATCTAACGCTGTTACTTTGAAATACAAAACCATCCATATTTCGACATATAAAGCCATTTTCTGGTTTTATGGATGTTGTTGTAAAGGTATGTGGATATTTGTGTGTGAAAACATTTTTAACAAAATGTGGTAGGACGTGGTACACCATATAGACGTCTTGTTAGTGGATTGAACAACGAAATATCCGCGAAGACTAAGAACACAAATTTCCTCAAACGCGTGTCCCAATTCAAGGAAAAGCGCTGGAAAATACACAGCTGTAAGTTCAATCCGATTTATTTCTCCAATCACAAAACAGTACGAGGGACTACTTTATGTTCCCCTTCCCAAAGTAAACAACCAGAAACTATTTGTCAGTAGCAGTGAGAGTGAGCGGCACAATTAGTAACCTCAACATTAAATCTCTCTCCTGAGAAGGTGGCATTTAGCACATGTAGTCTTATTACACCAAGGTTGAGAAGTAAACTAAAAGTACACAAAGGTATTCAGTACAGCTTGTAATTATTATGCCTATGTATTCGTAACACCTCCAATGAACACTACGCCAACTTAATTTATTGCCCTGTTTTTATTTTATTTTTTTACAAAATTCGTTTTGAATTTAGTTTTTTGTTTCTTTATTTTTTTTCCACAAAATTCGGCGAGCATACATGGCTGTTTAGAAAAATAACAAAAATTTACCAAAAAATAAAGTTACCGTAGTGTTCGTAGAAGGTATCGTCATTATGGGTAAATATGTATATAATAGTTGTTACCTTATCTTACAATACAGAGTGTGTTGAGAGTTGTCAGCCATTGGATCCGGTAGGTCTTTGGCTTCCACGAGGACTATGGTCACTACTGTGTTCCAACCCTTTTTATTGCGCTCCTTATGCTAAAAAAAACAATAATAATAAAATATGACGGGTTTTTGTGACCGTTTAGTTACAGTTTTTACACGAATAATTTTTTATTTTAAGTATATTTCGTTCTCAGTTTCTTAAACATTTGTTATCTTTTATAACCAATGCTCAATAAGTAAATAATGCAGTATAATCGAATACTAAAGATAAACAAAATAAATAGTAAGTGAAGTTAAACCAAAATAATAAATACTTTTAAGTTTGCTAAAAAGTATAATGGGATTGCTATATTATCATTGGACGACGTTAGATATTTGTAATAAGAGCGGTGGTAGCTTAGTGTAGTGAGAGAACTGTTGCTTCTCAATCAAGAGATCGCGTTACTTTAATTTCTAATTTACGTACATTTGTGAACATTTATTATAATTTTATGAACCTCCGTGGCCGAATGGGTACCGTACTGGACTGCCAAGCAGAGGTCCCGGGACCTACATTTATTTCTCTCGTGAGTTTGGGTGTACTTTGTGGTTATCTATGTGTGTGTCCATGGCACCCGCGATACAGAGCTTCCCTAGTGCGGGGCTATGAGTGTGTGCGCGTTATTATTGTTATTATTATTATAATCAAACAAACTCAAATAATCTTTATTTCATAGGTATGTAAATTACACTTGTAATAGTCGCATTGAATGAAAATCCACTACTCATTCATAAGACAGATTACCCTGAGGAGAATGAGCAACAAACTCTAGAGGTTACTTACTCTTTGTAATTAAACATTTGTACATGTCGATTGTTACACATAGGAAATGAAACTATTTTTCCGGATTTAAATCGCGTATACTTGTTTTTTCAAACAAACTGACGTTTCGGGCCCTCTATACGTCTCATGTCAGTCAACCGTGACCATGGGGCCTGTAAAGGCGCATTTATTCGAAACGAATTTCATCGCGCTCACCCGGCACAGCCGCCGCGCGGTCGAAGAGCGGAGTCCGCGTTGCCGCCGCGCAGCGACCGCGTGCGTGGCAAAGTTTCATGGCAAAATACGCTCTATTTTTTTAGCTTTTACGTTTTAATTTAAATGAGCGTTCCGGACACGCGCACTAGTCTGGCTTGAGTTTGGTAATTTTATTGAGAGGAATTTAAATGGTGTTGCATTATAAATAGAATTCAGATTCGCCATTAACATACATGAAGGCGTGGTAACTGGGTGGTCGCCGCGCGGCGGCCGCGCGAAATCTTTCTTCTCGTGTAGCTGGGCGCTCAAGGGCCCGAAACGTTGGTTTGTTTGAAAACACAAATATACGCAATTTAAATCCGGAAAAATAGTTTCATTTCCCATATGTACATATTTATCATTTACAACATATGTTTCAGATATCATAGATCGAGATAGCCTGCAAGAGTTATAAGGAGCAGTCCGCAGAAGCTATATAAATAACCTTTAGTGTAAAGAATTAATTTCACCATAGTTTTAAATCTCGTAAATGTCAAAATTTGGATATCAACCGGAATCTTAGATTATTATAGAACCGCAACAAATTGCTCCTTAAGTGAATTTGTATCTTTGTGACGACGAGTGTCAAGAACAACCAGTTTATTTTTATTCCTCGTATTAATCTTATGTTCGTACACCTCTCGCTAACGGCAAAGGAAAACATCGTGATGAAACCTACACATGAAGAAGATTCACATCTCTTGGACAGCGTGTGAAGTCCCCAGCCCGGGACAAATGGACCCACGTCGCGGGCTATGACTTTACCCTCTCCTTCCAGGAGGATAATGATGATGTTGATACTTATTCCTTCCTCATTATGTCTTTTTTCCAAGCGACTTAAATAGTATACAATTTCCAATAATATAAGTACGTGTTGATTTTGCATTGACGCCAATGGTCGCCATATTTACAGAGGTTATTCTATATCCGAAACTGAACCCAAATCACAAAATCAATAAATCGCAAAAAAAATCCTAATTTCTTATTTTTATTTAGTCGCTGTAAACATCGATTCGCAATTACCTGATCCAAACGTCATGGAACTATTGCATGACACGTGCAGTCACACAGCGGACCGACTCTCTCTGTTATCTCTTTCTCAAACGCAAGCTGGCGCCTCATCAATGAGCGCACTCAGTCGCGCGTACTTTGAGAGATGTTTGGTGTTCACCAGAACTATATTACCATCAAGGTGGCGCTCCTTCTGATTATGGACGGTGTGTGACCAATATAGTGATATGAAACGTTTAAACTAAACACGGAGACGATTACCGAGTATTGAACAATTCCACGCAAAAAGCGTCGCCGCTTTCCAACTTGTGAAGCTAAATCTGCTAACTCAGAAAATTGAAACGAAACTCTCGACGGCTTGCGAATTTTTGCAAAGCAGTCACATTGGTGGTTGGTGGACACTTCTGGCAAT